TTAGAGCGTCCCCTATCGTTTTACAAGTCAACGGTAGCATTGGCCATCTTCGACAACCGCCTGCTTTACAACCAATATACGATAAGTTTGACCTCATCTCATATATGCATACACATCCTGGCTGCCGGCCTCTCGGCATGTATTCGTGCGTGTCCATCGGATGTTGCTGATGAGCGTGAGTCGCGCCGCATACAGGCGAATATGCATATATGTGAGAGTACAGACGCATATGCGCGTGCGCATCACGCACACAATGCTAGCCTGGCATGTTGATACACGGATAGGGCACACACAGAGACAAGGCGGATTTTTTGTTCTCGACGCGTTCCTTGATTATGCATCTGCATGCATGTGTGTGTGTGTGTGTGTGTGTATGCGTAGGTGTATGTGTCTGTGTGTATGTGTATATATATATATATATATATACGCACATATTATACTTATACAGATGTAGGTGTAGAATGTAGATGCACATGTAGATGTGCATGTACATGTATATGTATGCGTATATGTACATGCACCGATGCTATATATTAGCTTGTACACGCAAGTGTCTTCTTCACCCTAAACCCGAGAAGCCCTAGACCAGAAAGCCAGAAGCCAGAAGATGCTTCTGGAAGTTCTAGTCAAGATGGAACTCGCCCGAGTCCCGAACAGCTCTGTCAAAGCTTCACACGGATCTTCCTGGCACAGGTTGTTCGTGGAATCGAAGCCGACGCATTTTGGAGAAACTCGGGTCAGGGCCTCTTCTGCCAATCCTGCAGCGGCAGCAGCGGTAAGCCCATCTTCTTCAGCCTGCAGGTGGCTGACATAGATCCGTCGCTCACCTGCCTCAAACAAATCGATGCTGCAGGCCACCGCTCCGGCACTCCCCTCCACCGTGGTAGGAAGAGTATGCCCGGTCTAGCTGGCAGCGACATGAGTAGAGTTTGTCGGCTCCTCCTCGCAAGTTGTTCTTCGAAGCCTCTCCCTCTCTGCCACCACATGTAGCGGTTAGGGCAGCTAAGGCCCTCTTGAGGATGTATTGCCTCGCCTGCTGCTCGTTGGGGCACTTCGTCGGAAGAAGTTCTGCCAGGAACGCAGGGCGATGCAAGGGTGCTGAGGGAAGGCTTGCAGAGCTACACAGCGGGAGCTTAGCTTCCGAGGATGTTAGCGAGGATTGCAGCTGTGCAAGCGTATTGGTCCAAATGAGGTTAGGTCACAAAAGACCATTTCAAGTTTTTCACGATCCGAACCACCTTGAAACAAACCAAAGAAGTCAAGTACCCCAACCCTCGAGAAAACCCGAAACACGGTTCGCTTTCGCCAAATCCAACTGAGAACACAGCAGCATGGTTCGGGTCTAGAAGGTTGTACACTGGGCTTTGAGGGCTTGCTTAAGGCGAGACTGAACGGTGAGTCTTGCTTGGCGGGCCCAAAGGCTTCTGCTCACCTGCTTGCGTCTTAGACACAGTCTTGTGCAAGTTCTGCAGATGTGAATTCCGACTGCCTTAGCCTACCCACGCCCCTCTCACGACATCCAAGCACTAAATCCTATCTGACACACACACAGCATCCTACCCAGATCCATGCCTCCGCGACAGATGCCCCGTGGCGGAGGCGTCGCGGCCGCTGCAGTGGAGGCCTCCTGTGCTTAGCTTTGGGAGATCTTGGCTCGTAATCGGTACTCAAAGCTTTCTCAGACGCATGGTACCAGTGCTGGACAATGAAAGAAAGTGTGCAAACAGCGGCAAGGGCCTCAAGGGGCTAAAACAGGAACTACGCCGGGGCCACCTGAAGGCAGCAACCACAGCCTGACTTGACCCATAAACCTGGAAGCCGAAACCTGTACTCCCATTCCCCAAGCGAGATTCGAGAATCTCTTGGGACCCTACACCCGCATGCAAAGCCGTCGACACTGCTTAGCACAGGCGATCAATAACACACAGAATCAAAGCCGCAAACCCAACAAAATCTCAGCAGACTTGGACCAGGGCCTGGCGCAAGTACTTTGTTTGGCCTTGGCCAGCGAGGACCTCCGGCTTTGGCGAAGGCTTGGGCTCCGTTCTAAGGATGCCTTGCGGTGATGTGGCCTAGGGCTCAGCAAGCATGCATGCATACGTACGTACATACATACAGACAGACCTACATACAGAAAGGCAAGCAGGCATGCGTTGTTTGCTGTGCGTACGTAGATTTTTCAAAACGCGGAGGGTTGAGAAGATGGATAGGAAGCAAAGAGGGTGGCCTCGCCGGCATGCTCCTCCTTGATGGCCTCGCGGTCAGAGGAAGCATCTCACTTCATACAAAGTCATCCCAAGGGGAGTCTATTGCTGTTTTAGGACTGGGCTGGGGCCGGGCAGATGTTATGCAGACACTTGCGACTTGAAGGCAGGAATGCAAGGTGGAGTCTCAGGTGGTGGCCCCGGCAAAGTGGCCCACAATACACCTGCTCCCTGTCCATTGAGATCTGCGGGACTTTGCAACCACCATATCTGTAAGGAAGCGATTGGTCACTCTCAGCAGTTGTTTCTTCTTGCACCTCTGTCTCGCTGCTTTGGTAGGCTCCGTCTCTTCGAAACCGAAGCACCACACACTCTTCTTGATAGGCAAGCACGGCACGTTCCCTGTTCCCTGACGCTCAACAGCAAACTCTTCAAAGGAGGCGCGTTGTGGGGCCTCTTGAGACTCCTTCTTGGTGTCCACACGAAAGAGCTGTGATGCCGCGGAGTCTGTGATGGTCCTCGGTGTCTCAAAAGGTGCACGCAGCGCTTGCGACTCCGACTTGATCCAAACTGATTAGTTTCGTAGTTCCGAGGGACCCGTCTCACAAGTCCAAAGCTCCTCTTCTGCTGAGATGTCGAAGCAATGCATCCCAAAACCCTCAAAGCGCTAGAAGCACTGAACTTGCATAGCTTGAACCCTGCCCTAGCGATTCCAAACCCCGACACCCAAAAAAAGAACTCTGTCAAGAGGAAAGCTCCGAGCTTCTTTCTTCACCAAGCCGCATTCTCACGGCGGCGCTGCGTGCGATGTCGTCCTGGCCGGGGCCAGGAATCGAGTGCTAGTGTACGGTGCCAATAACTAACGATGACGACGATGATGATGACCGAAAATAGTTGTGATCGCGATTATGGTTAGCAGCGGTTAGCAAAGGATCTTGCCGCTAAGAAAAGGAGCTCGAGAAGGGGCTGGGGATCTCGGCGAAGTGCGAAGGCAGCAGGAGTGAGGGGGTCTTCGCGAGTCTTTAGATCCCTTGCACATCTTTTGCCTCTTTTCGAAGCGGTCGGGCCAGATGTCTAAACCTGACCGTTGATTTCCATGCTCTAGGGCGTGGTCGTGGGCAGGGTGCACACTCGACCACAGGCCCCTCCAGCACTGCAGGCATGAGTCCTTGGCAGAAGCAGACATGTCCTCAGTCGGCACCACTGCACAGGACAGTTCTGTATGCCTGCGAGCCTGTCGATGAAAGTAAGCAAGGAAGATTGCTTATTCGGGGTGCTGACATCAACGCTCGAGTGCTGCACAAAGGTGCCCAGGAGTAGTGGTCGGAAAGAACCAGCAATGACGTTTTGCAGTCTGTTCCGATGAGAACGAAACTGGTTACGACTCTGTCAGTCCTGCTCCTGGTTAAGATAGCTCTTCTCACTAGTGCCATGACTGTCAAAGAATGCTGTATACAGCGATGGCTTTGACGCTGATTCGTCACTAGCGTGGCCCAAGTTCCTGCATCTTGCATCGGTGTGCTGTGATGAAGGCCGGATGAAACATGCAGTCTCGCGCTAAGAAGTGCTTATGTGCCATGTCGTCACATCAAGCACTCAAGGACAGCTATATTTGATCTACACAAGGTGGTGTTGTGCCAAAGGATTGGTTTTCGTCAGCATCCACTGAGGCCAACGCATCCGTCATTTCAGGGCCACTGCGACCATCTGAGGCAACCTGGGAAACTTAATTGCCCGGCATTGAACCGTGAATGCCTGGGTAAGAGGCAATCCATGAACCCCTTCCAAACTTGCAAGGCTTGGGGTTTAGGATTTGGGATTTACGTTTCGGCCCTAGCCTTCAGGCAAGCCGGAGAGCCCAGCATTCAAAAAACACCGTATTTCCGAAGATGTTTCCATCAGGAACAGCCACCCCAAAGTGTTGTTTCCCCGCCAGGCCCCGATAGCTCAGTGAGCTGTGCCTGAAAGGACTGCTTCCCTGGCACCAGCACGACGCGCGTGGCGAGGGCAAGCAGCAGCCATCGCCTCAGAGTCCGAACCCAAACTCCACACAGCAGCTCATCCACGCAAAATGTCCTGAGGGCTTGGCCTAGAGTGCATGCCGAAGCATCGACCAAGGCTGGCCATGTGTACCTCATGTCTTCAGGTTTCAGATCTAAGCATCGCGATGCTGTATATGCTCTCGGGAAGGAAGAGCTTCGCACATGACAGCTGACAGCTTAAGGGTTTTAGAAGTCACAAACCCGAAACCCATTCCAGGAGGGGGCTTCATCCGAAGTCGTCGGAGCTTCAGGAATCCCTCATCTTGAGTTTCACCGTCTGGACCTGAAGCCAGTGCCTCCCCCAAATTCCGCAACCACGCTGCCCTAAGGCTCTACTGCCAAGAAGCACCGGCTGCAGTCTACCGGCAGACTTTGCAAACAACCCTCTGGCTCATCTTGAGCCATCTCAGCTGGAGTGGTTTAAGGAATCAAGGATCCTTGAAGCTTGGGGTTTGAGGGTTTGAGGCTCTAGGACTACGGGTGGTTCAGTTCATGAGGATTCGGAGCAGAGGAGTGTGCAGCTTCATGTGGATTCGGGATCTTGGCCTCTGGATGTTTCAGGGTTTAGGACCTTCCTTCAGCAGAAAATAAAGAAGGCTGTCTGATAGTAGCAAGATCGTACAATGCTTTACGAGCTCATGAACACTTCAACAGCTGCCAGCTACCGCGATCACAGCAGTATAGAACTCTCTAAACGTTCCTGTTCAAGGGCTCCGACAGGGTCAATACCAGAGCCTCTTTCTCGGCTCCAGCTTTTCTCGCCCTGCACTTCAAGCTGGCGCGCTCTGGGTCTCGATTAAATCGGAGTTCCCGCACTCTGGGCTTAACCTGAACGGAATCGGAAGCGCATCATCTGAGAGTCGAGGACCCGCGCGTGACACCCCAAGCCCGGGCCCTGGACTCATAGGGCCATTGGCTCAAACTTTGAAACTTTTCTACAGATACACCATTCGTTCTGTTGAACATTCCGTCCAGCCCAGTCCTAGCGCTAATGCCTCACTCGGACACACCGAGCTCGGCAGCTTCTCGTGGCGGTTAGCATTCATCCACCTCTTCTTCCTCCGGGGGGGAAGCCTCGGAGAGCTGGGTGAATTATATCCATTTGCGCCACTACACGCAGTTACACGCACAGATGCTGGCAAGAAGACATGCATGCCTGATCACGTACATGTATGTGTGTACGTATGTACGCCTGCACGTACGTATGATCTTCTATGTATGTGTGTGTGTGTGTGTGCGTGTACGAGCACACATTGATGGTGTGATGATGCATTTATTTCTTGATGTGGCCATTTCTACATGAACGCATTCGCCTACTGTGAACATTCCGGTTTGGGAGGGATGTGAGAACACAGCCGTGATGTCTATTACTATTCATACGGCGATCACCACAATTTCGGCATTGGTCTACTCCTGGTGATATTGTCTGCCTCATGTTGTCGCCGTTTCTTTTCTGTTTGGGATTCTAACACAAATGGCTTTTGCCATGTGGTGACTTGCCACCATCAATATCAATGTTTCCAGTGCCTGCATTGGAACGACTGCCAGCGATGCTCCTGCTCGTAAGAACTGCATACGGTGCCTGCCACTTTCCTATTTCTCATTTCTGTCGTCATGCGTCTCGTCCCTGCCAGCCCGGCTGGCAAGCAAAATACCATCCAGCATGCGAACCCCTACATGGGACAGGTGCTCACATAGCTCTAAGGCTTCTACAACCAAGGAGCGTTTCCAGTTTTTTGTAGTTCTCAAACTTTCAATATTACATTAGGCTTGGTGTGAACATACCTTGTTGACTACCCCTTACCAAAAGTTGTGAAAAGCTCAGGTGAAAAAATGCTGCATGCCGCCACAGAGCAGCAGTGGGTTGCGGTGCTATGGCCTTGCCAGCCATACCACAGGTAAGGGTGGGCTTCATGTTCTGGCTGCCAACAATCTCAACGTTCTGAGGCATCAGGATCGTCAAGTCTTTTGTAACTTGAGGCGTGACACCTCTGCTTCGGAGACTTCCGGAGCCCCTAAGAGGCCCTAAGAGGAAAAGGGATGAGTGGTTCTGAACTACGACGGGCAAATGAATGAGCTTGGGCATGCATATGTAGAATAAGGTTTGCGCAGACTGATACATGAATGCCTTGCTTGCCTGCGTATTCATGTAGAGACGAAGCTTTTCTGGTGTCTGCGGCCTCGTTTGAGCTGTTGGGTTCTGGAATGACATATAGTTTCCTCGCTGAAGACCACCGGTTGCTGTGTACCCATAACAATGCATTCTAAATCGACTAATTGGCTGTTGCTGTCTTATGGCGCGACATCTTGCAAAAAAACTTAGCCATGGGCCTTGGATGTAGAGTGTGGCTTCGGCAGCGCGCAAGGCGGCGGCGGCTTTGTTTTCGGTGGCCCCTGGGAGGGCTGAGTATGCAATAAGCGTCCCTCCCTCCCTCCCTCCCTCCCTCCCTCCCTCCCTCCCTCCCTCCCTACCTACCTACCTACCTACCTACCTACCTACCTACCTACCTACCTACCTACCTATACCTACGCACCTGCTTTCATACGTACGTGCCTGCCAGCGTACATGCCTCCAGGCATGCATGAATGCATGGGAGCGTACATACTTGCCTACCAGCTACATACCTACATATCTACATACATACATACATACATACATACCGCATATCTACATACATACATACATACATACATACATACATACATACATACATACATACATACATGCCTACATGCCTACATACTCTCACCATTCTTCCACACATACATATCTACATACCTGCATACCTCCTCTTGCTACTATCACAACTACGACAACGTCAACTACGACTACTAGTAATACCACCACCAACAGCACCACCAACAGCACCACCACTGCTGCTACTGCTACTGCTACTGGTACTACTGCTACTACTACTTCTTCTACTATTACTTCTACGACGACTACGACTACGACTA